CGGGGGGTTGGGGGTGGCGGTTGATGTTTATATGGCGCGTGCGCTTTACGTATTCAAGCCCATTAAATTCCTGATCAATAATTGCTTTTTAAGTGATCGTTCCATCATTTCTTACGCAGCATGTTTCAAGAGGGATTGCTTTCTTCTGCAAAGGTGCAGAACTAAAGAGCAACCAACGCAGCCTTTCTGTGAGAGAGAGATGTTTAAGAGCGTTTGCTGGTTGCTGGATGGTATTCGTGCCCCATCCCATTAAGATGTCTAGTTGTTGCTCGACCAGTCATTCACCTTGGGTAAAGGACAGCACTTCTACAGAAGAACACTGGATACAAGATCCTCATCCCTCTTCCTGCTCAGGATGGCATAGCTTGCATGAGTATTGCACGAAGTCCCTCACAACTATTTTAGGTTTATTAAACTCATTTTGGTGACATAAGCTAGCAGTGATGTGGGCGAACCTACCTTTCAAAGTATTTTGTGACTTAGTCTCTTGTGTGCTGGAGTGGAGAATGTGAGATCAGGTTCTGTAAGAAAGAAAAAAATCTTTGCTCTCAGTAGAGGTTTGTACTTGTATCTATACATTCTGATCCTTTGCTATCTTATTGTAATGATTTAAAATACAGTACAGTTTTCGTGCAATGTATTTCCTACCCCATTTCTGTTTCTCATCACAATTCTCTAAGAAAAAGTTCATTTATACTAGGAAAATGCTCAGTCAATGATAAACATACAACCAATTGATTTCCCCTGTCCTAGTCAGCTAGTACTGAAAACATTTTAATTGCTGATTTAGCTGCAGAAGAAACATTATTATTCCACACTTTCCTATTATTGCTAGCACTCTTACTGTAGTTGAGTAACTATAAAGACAGCTCTTGCCTGGCTGGAGTGGCCCAAAAGGCCCTTGTTGCTGGCGACTGTATGTGTGGCAGTTACTGTTGCTGACAACTCTGCTCATTGAGGTCAGTGGAAAGACTCCCATGACTTCATTGAGGTTTGAAATTGAGAAACCAAATCTAAGTTTGGATGCTTCTAAGACATCGTATTGCATTGTCATCAGATCATTCAGCTAAACATGTATGTATTTTTATATTATGTAGTTATACTTGATTTTATGAGGACTCAATACCAATTGCAAAACAAATACTCTCCAGACAGAAAAACTGCATAGAGTCAGATCCACAGTTCTTTAAAAGCAGTCACATTTTTCCACTGGACTGTGAATTGGTTCTTACAAAATAAGAATGCAGAATAATGTAATTGATCACTAAATTGCCATGTTATGATAGTCCAATATATGTTTTGTCACCTTTTGATACTATATTTTCTTTTAGAATAAAAGCAAAAGTGTTCTCAAAGCAACTGTGAAAACAGGTGGACATTAATTAGAATCTTTTAGGCTGAAAACAACAGGATCACATATCAAAAGGATCACGTATCAACATGTGAAACTTGCAGCATGCCTACAGAAATACTGTAATGGGGGCCCTGATAACTTATGCCTGGAATGATTAAAAACTGCCATGCTCCATGCTGACTTTCAGCATACATTGTTATTTGAATGAATACCACCTTATAAGTTATGTTTGCATTTTTGTAACCAAAAAGGATTCTGAAATGCCAGTTTTGGACCCGGACTTCACATTCTGGCAGTGCTTGAATCCATTTGTTGTGATATGTTCATTGCTATTTTTAACTTATGTAGTAAGAATTTAATCTTATTTGTTACAAACTCCATCATACTGAAGGCATTCAAAAGGCTTTATAGTACATAATAAATAATGCTGGTCAGTAGCTTACAAGCACTGTATTTTTTTTTCCCATCCACAATGCTACCAGATGTATCAAAATTGACATTTTGGATTGTATGAGAATGAAATATAAATAAAGCCATGAAACTACAGAACAAATACTAAAGATGGTATTTTCAGTAGTGCTGCTATAACAAAATGGAAATATTTTGTGATGAAAGGCTACTTAAATAAAAATTTAAAATATAAAACATATTTTTCAGAAAAATATTTGAATGCCAAATAGAAGCTAAAGTCCATATCCTATCTGCTTCCCACATACAGTTCAAAAGCAGGATATGAACTACTGAAAACGAAGGGAAAAAAAGAAGTCTCTGAGTTAACTAGACCATATTTGCTCCAGTTGTGTAACCATTTTACTTCACAGCAGCTCCGTGACTTTCTTATTTGTGGAAAGGATGGAGTGAGGTAGAAATGTGCAGCTTTCTCTTCCAACTTGCTTGTGGCTCTCACATTGGTTTGAAGTCACTGAGCAGGGAAGAAGGCAGGCAACGGGGTGAATGGGATTTCCAAGTTCAGTGCAAGTACCTACAGCTAAGGATACGCTATATTGCAAATAACAGTCTATCTGATTATGTGAGTGAGTGGAATCTACTGGCAAACCTGTACATATGTATCTTAGGAGTTTTCATGAGTATACCAAGAAGTTCCCGATTCACAAATTGGCATAGCTCCCCGAGTAAAGATGCTCAGTGGATACCTGTGGTTCTCGTGTACTGCATGCTAGTTTAAATTCTGTGTAGCTGTTATATTCTGCTTTTGCTCAAAGTTCTTCATTTTGATAGGCATACCACAAAAAAACCCCAGTCTCTCACATATATTTATTCTTCCTGCAGTTGTAACTTTGTCAACTGTCTTCCTTATTAGCCGAGATGCCCAGGCAGTTTCCAAAGCTGAACATCTCTGAGGTTGATGAGCACGTGCGACTTCTGGCAGAGAAGGTATTTGCTAAAGTTCTCCGAGAAGAAGACAGCAAAGATGCCTTGTCACTATTCACTGTGCCTGAAGACTGCCCTATTGGGCAGAAAGAGGCCAAGGAAAGGGAACTGCAGAAAGAATTGGCAGAACAACAGTCTGTGGAAACAGCTAAAAGGTTTGTTCAGTAGTTTCTTGGTTTTTTAAATGAGTTTGAGTTAATACTGAAATATCTGGCAGATTACATTCTGCCTCTTATTACTTCTGGAGAAAGGTACCAAGGGCACCTGTGTGATGTTCTTCTCTGCTACGCATAAGGTGTGGGGATGGGCCCTAGGGAGCTTGGATTGGTGAGGTTTTCTTGGCTGCATTTCCAGCAATACCATAGATATTGCTTGTGCAAGTTGAACAAACAGCATAGCTGGGTATAAGTGACCCTGAGCAACTCTAAGACTCTTTAATGTAAAAAGAGTCAGAAAAAGAAACAGTTTTCCCCCCTCTTTATTCTAGATTCATTCAGAGAAATGGAAGGTTTTAACACAGAGAAAATGACAGTGGTGTGATATTTCTTTTAGTCTCTATAAAAATAGATGAAAGCAAAGACTTGGTATTTAACATCAAGGGAGAAGGTGAAAAGTGGTATTGGCATAATGAGGTTATTCGTAGGTTTCCTTAACTCGCAAAGGTAAAATCTAACCACTGTCAGCCATAAAAGCACACATTTTGAGTTATCTCAAAAAAACCCCACCAAAACACAACAAAGAAACAGTACAGTCCACCTTTGGCTTACCCATGAATCTAATGAAGCCAAACTTGATTTGGTTTATGATTTTCTTCTGTGAGAGAGGTAGCCTTACCTTGATGTTAGGTTGTTCCAGTATCTTAACTTCAGTGGACTGGCTAGACCATTTCCTAGAGTCATGTGAGCCCAGCAGCAGTCTGACAGCAAATGGGTGTGTACAGACTCTTCAAAAAACAGGCAAACAAGGAAGCCTTTGAAAGTGATAGCTAAACACATGTATCCGCTTAGCTGCAGACAATCAGTTGGGCAATGCGTGGTATCATGTTTCTGGAACAGAAGGGAGACAAGTCAATTTAGTTAAGATATGACACACTGATGACACAGGCTGAGACTTTTGGTTTTAAATTGTGCAATTGTGTTCCCAGTTGGTATGTTCATAGACATAAACAAGTATAGAAGGGAAAACTAGATGTTTTCATTCAAACAACTATTTGGTGTATCTTTCCTCCTGAACTAATGAGTTTCACTTTTAATTTGGGAAATTGTCTTATAGAAATATGTTCTGTCAAACTGTACCTCAAGTTTTGGACAAGTTTAACTGTGGGAAGTGGGATATTATGTGTATGTTGTTTACATGTGGGAACAGAACAAGTATCCATCCCAGTCCTACAGGACTGAAGTGTACTTGAAGGACAGTTACACGAGTAAAACTTGTTTTCAGTTGCAGTTGATCCAACACTGCCTTTAAAGAATTTCATACTGATTTCAAAGGTAGCTACAAGTCATTAAGAGAGGATGGAATTTGGCCACAGGGTATTAATTGTACCAGCACTGCATATTCTTGTTCTTCAGAATGTCACAGAAGTAATACACAGCTTCCAGAGAGTATTCCAGTATTCCTTTTTTTGTTTGTTAGTGGTTCTTACTAACATTTTAAGGTTTTGGCATCTGGTTTATAAAATGAGAGAGTATTTTCACAGTGCAAAAGAAAGTGATATCACAGGTAGTTTGTAACAGCATATTTATTTATTATATGAACATTTAAAGTACATTTAAACTGAGTAAGGAAAATTAATTAAATCTTTAGAGACATTCCAAAACTTCACTTGAGGTATTACAGTTACTTCACTGAAAAATACAGCATTCTTTTTTAGCTGGTTTGTCCAAGGCACACATTTATCAGTTTTGCTGAGAACATGCAAAAGTTTTTAAATTTATGGGGGTTAGCCATTTAGTGCCCTGAGTGGAGAAATGGACTTGCGTATCAAAGCCACGCTATGTTACTATTCGGATAACCAACATAAGCCTTTTGCTCAAGTCTCACCAAACACTGCCTGAGGAATAATAACCATGTGCTTATTCTTTTTCTTACAAGTTTAACTGAATGACTATATATGAAATTTTGATGCATAGTCTTGTCTGACAACTAGACAGGTTTTTAAATCCTGCATGTTTTGGGAAGAATTAAAAGTGTGTGTAATAGCATGATACCTTGCAACAACTTAGCGTATGTAACATTCATTTGTTTCTGTGTGATACTTCATGAATTCTGATGCTACCAGTGTCTAAGAATCACCTCCTATGAAAATAAGGACAGTGATCGCGTTTTTCTTCTGTACAGTCACTTGCTGAAACGAAATTTGTAACAAGTGAAACAAAACAAAACTTAGGGCATCTTACAGTGGTTGTAAATAAATTGTGGCATATTGTATTCATGTGGAGGGTAGGTGCAAGTTGTGTGTAGCATGTATCATGTGAAATGTCAATAGAAAAAAAGCTAAAAGCACCAATATTTTGTGACCAACATTTTTCCGGTGGTATGAGAGATTTAAGTTGTAAAACTTCTTAGGGGGCGATGTCTGTCTTGTTATCAGTTTTCCAGTGTATTTAATGTTTTATACCATGGCTTATTTTCTGCTTTATACCATGAATTTGTAGGAAGAAAAGTTTCAAGATGATTCGATCCCAGTCTTTGTCATTACAAATTCCGTCCCAGGAATGGAAAGCACCGTCGGCCAATCCTGTTCTGTCTCCAGCAACGCCAGTTCTTCCAAGTGCTTTTCTGCCAGTCCAAGTGCCATATGATGTACCAGAGTTTCAGAGAGTTTCAATTAGTGGGGACTACTGTGCAGGGGTAAGAAACCATTTTTTTCCCCCCTTCTGTGTCTAGGGGGAAAAAAATCCCAAACCACGAGCAGCTAATGTATATAAAGTGTGAAATACAAGTATATTATGGCTCTCTACAACAAACTGTAAATTGCTTTGTGAACACATCGATTTTTAAAACAGTTAAAGTCAAGGTCAGGTTGTTTTATACTTTTTATCATAAAAAAAATAATCGGGCATTAAATAAATGGATGCGATACAGTAGGAGGAAAAAATTGTTTGTGTTTTGCACATTGTATTTGGACTCTGCTTCTGTCACTGGCTTCCTGAGACCTTGGATAAGATCCTTATGGTCACGGCATATACAAGTTCAGTCTCCTTGTTACTGGCATGGATTTGGTTTGTTGCTAGAACTGCTATTTTATTTTTGTCAGTATTTATCCAGGCTTTCATTTCAGGTTACAGTTGATGATTATGAACAAGCAGCCAAGAGCCTGGTGAAAGCTCTTCTCATTCGAGAAAAATATTCACGTCTTGCCTACCATCGCTTCCCAAGAACAACATCTCAGTATTTGTGTAGCATGCAAGATGAAAAATGGAAGGTTGAAGATGAAGTGTATCCAGGTGAATATCCTTGTTGTTCTTTTTAAAATATAGAGTTAAATCCATGCACTGCTGTAGTAAAGGTAAGTTGGATTTTTGTGATGGTCTCTTTTGAGTGTCTTTGCTTCTGTAATTTATTCTCTTAGTAAGTGGTGGAGAATCACTGAGGGACCTAAGTTATAAATCCTGTGATAATCTGAAACTTTGAAGCTGTCAAAAGCAAAAAAAACGTACTAGACGCTCATTGATTCTTTTTTTTTGCAGCAAATGGGATGGTAAATAGTGCACTTGGGTTCCTCCAGGAAAAAGATTTATGGATATGGTTTAAAGTGAAAAGTAATTCCTCCTGATCTTGGTGTGCTGAAATAAAAGGGATTATGAGCTCATCTACACTGTAAATTGAAGTACAATGCAGACATGCCAGTTAGCAAGCCCCGAGTCAGTAATTTCACAGGCATGGTACACTTACCAGGTCAAGACTGGAAGCTGTATATAGTCATATTTGTTGGGCATTCTGCCTGGGTTAATAAACTCTGATCTCTCAACAAGACTTATTAGTTGAGCACACTCCTCACTATATATGGCACAAATGATTTTTGTCACTTACGTGGGTTGTGTCTTGAAAGCTTTGCTTGTGTATTAAAACTGTTTGCACTGCTGTTTTTTTGGATTAGTCTTTGAGGAGCAACCTTTGGTCTGTACAGATGCGCCACTGTAGTGTGTCCATATTGTTGCAACGTATTCTCAGCTATAAATTGACATTTTAAATCAATTACTCTCTTGCTCAGTTGTTGAAAGTGGGTGAATTAACATGTTTTCAAGCATTTGTTATAGATTGAGTGTGAAGAGGACAGTATACTGCATATTCAAGACAGGAAAGGTATTTTGGAATAGCCATCATTTAATAAAGAATAGTATTAAATCTGTTTATAAGTTGGTTCAGAGAACTCTAATAATGTTTAATATTTTAATTAAGCCAGGCGCTTAGCTTAGAGAGGAACCGCAATTAAAACCTGTCAGAATAAAGCTGTGTTGTAACAACAGATCTTCTATAGTAACTGAAAATGTGATTTTAATGAAAGTATTAAGATCTGTTAGAAATGAAGCATTATAGAAGCAGAAAGTAATTTTTGCAATTATTTTGCCTAAGTTATTTCTTCTAAATATAATGTAAATTTATTTACAGATTTCCATTCACCCCCAGAAGAAAATGAAGATCCTTACAATCTTGATGATGCTCCAGACAATTTGGATTATGTTATCAAGATAAAAGGTGGCATTCCCTTTGTTTATGATAACAAAGAAATGATGGAACTCAATGAGCCTCGGAGTCTGCCATATCCTGACCTGGAGACCTATACCCTTGACCTGAGCCACGTTCTTGCTCTAATTGCAGATGGTCCAACGTATGTTTCTTTCTTTTCTGACCCTTCAGGCTGCTGGTTACCTTTAGTTTAATACTTCTCACTTTTGTGATATTTAACTTCTCGGTATACTCATTCTACAATAATGTTTTGTTTTGCCCTTCTCAAGCATTAATACATCACAGAAAGACTTAAAAGGAAAAAAACCCCACGCATACGGCTATATTTCATTTCTTTAGTTTCTTTGCATCAACCATGGTAAAATGAGAAGGAGTTAACAGAAAAGAAAGAAAATGCCCAGATGTTCCCATTCAAATCAAATCTGACCCAAACTTCTTGAGGCATGGGAACTGAAACTTGAACCTCATCTTTTTTATTTTGTTTTGTAATATGGTGAATTTGAGGTTTTAGAACAGTTGTCTGGAATTCCTTCATGTCTTACTCTTGCTGCATGAAGAGAAACCTGCATATATAGAGCATGCAAAACGGCTCAGGAACATAAATATTCAGTCTGATTTGTTCGAGATGTGAATGAATTGCTCATGTGCTGCAAAACTGATCCATGCATGCACAATCAAAATAGGTCTGAAATTTCCCAGAACCATCAAACTCCAGGGAAATCTCTAAAACCCAGAAATACAACTACTCTAGTACAGTCACCAACACATTCATGACAAAGCAATGACCTTGCCCAGTGTGTAAGGAAAACATGCGCATCCAGTTTTTAAGTTTACTTCCCAGCTGAGGACTGGAAACATCAATGTTTGTCACGGCCTCAACACCAGGAAAGTGAAAGAATCCAGCTTAGGAGGGAACAAAGCAGGAACCTGAACTGTTCTTGTGAACTATTTGCCTTGCCTGCCAGCACTGCATTCCTGGTTCTTCTGCCTTTGAGAGATCATCACTTACAATGTGACAAGTTAGTCACACCTGATGCATTATTTCCTTTTTGAGTCTGTGCCTGACACCTGCAGCATAATCTGTCTGCCTTGCACATTGATAGTGGCAAAGCAGATGGGCTGAACAGAGCTCTGTCCCATTCCCTAAGCACTTTTTCAAGAGCAAAAGTCTATGCTTCCACCAGCATTATCAACACTCCTGCTCCAAATCAAAGCTAGCCTGACGTTACTTGTTTACAGTATGCAATGGGTAAATGCATTTCCAATTTCAGCATGTTATACTCTAGGAGATAGATATTAAGAGATTAAAGGACAAGGAGGAAAAACATGAAACAAAAATCATACTGAAGACCCTTCTTTTTGCAGCTTTTGTTAACAGTCTTTATCAGGAAGCCATAAATAAGGCGGCCCTTGGTAGGATGTTAGAACACTCAGCACCTTTGTGACTCTAGGAGCAATCATCTGCTCCCTTCACTTCTTCAGATTAAGTTCTTGCAGACTGATTCACACTCCTTGATAAATACACACAATCAAAAAGGAAGAAGTCTTTTCAGTAATCCTGATGCATAAGTTCTTCATACATTGTTTCCTTGTTTGCAGCAAGTGCTTTCCTGCCATTTATGTCTGTCACATATGGGGCTGCTGGGAGAACAAACCCCCAGTGTTCTTTAATCTTTGCTGTTCTTAAACTGGTGATATCTCACCCCTACTCCTCAGTGTTCCGGTCTCTTGAATAATAGTATAACCCAACAAAGACTTCCTGCAGCGGGCAAATGGGTCTTGATCAGTATCAGATACAGTGAGACTGTGTGTGAATCAGACTTCCAAATCCGTAATGGGATTTGTGTCCCATTGAGGAGAGATTGTTGACAATAAAGCAGAAAAAAGAAGGCTATTACATTAATAGTGCTACAAAAATATTGTAGATTCAATAAGAATTGACAGATGGTAAAGAGGAAAACCATGTCATTGCTTAAAAATAGAATGAGAAACATAACAGAAGAGGAAAGTGAAGACAGAAGAGTGGGCAAGCAGGAACAAAAAAGCATGAGAAATTATTTTGGAAAAAAAGTATTTCTACATGATATATGTGTTTTTTAAGGCATAAAAAATGAAAGTGTATTGGATCTTTTCTTGGCTTCTTCTGTTCACATTGAAAAAGCAAATAAACTTTGGGGAAATTAAAAAAAAAATATTTCCATAGGAAGTAAGTCTGGATTACAGGTTGTTTCGGTGATATATGAGGCAATCTGCTCTATTGGAGGTATAGTTTTAGAGTAGTAGTGATTGACTCACATTCTATTATAAGTTTTATGCTTCCTCTGGTCATCATTACCAAAAGAACTGCAGTTTATGCACAGGTACAGTGATAACAATACTTGGACAATGTAAAGGACGTAACATGGTTACGTAGAGTTCTGTTTGAGGTTTCACTAATAACTTTGGTCTGAAATCACATTGAATATTGACTTACATATTTGAAGAATGGATGTGTCTTGGTCTTCATAATTTTTTTTTTTTTTTACTGTCAAATAGTTTTATTTTTGTGTTTTCTTTTGCAGAAAAACATATTGTCATCGGAGGCTTAACTTTTTAGAATCTAAATTTAGTTTACATGAGATGTTAAATGAAATGTCGGAATTTAAAGAACTAAAGAGTAATCCCCATCGAGACTTTTATAATGTGAGAAAGGTAGGTATGAAAAGGATTAATGGCATGACATTGTTTTTAGTAGGAGTTCCAGCTATTTTGCTTTTCTTGTGTGAGGTGTAGATGACATGCATGAAGTGGTATATGCATACTACTCAATTGAATTACATTATTTTAAGAATATTAGAATTTTCCTACATGGGAACAGTCCAGGAAAATTAACTTGAATGTAAGTCGGTTAAATGGATTATGCTAAACTCATCTGTTTACTTATTCAGAATCAAAGGGGCTTAATTGTATTGCTTTAAAGGAGTGAAACAGAATTAATCAAATGAAGCTCACTTGGATTATGAATAAAAATATCCACATGGAGGTTTAATTAATTGTAACTAATTCACTTAAAGACAGTCAAGTGTATTTTCCTGCTTTCATGTAGGTAAGTCATACTAGACTGTAGTAGGAACAGCTGTATAGATTTTGGACAAAAATTTCACTTCCTATTGAAGACAGGTGTTTAAATACATGTCGAAAGAAAAAAGACCACCCATAGAAACTGAACTGAGGGCTCATGTTCCCATCAGTATCTGGTAAAGAATGTCTGTGAAATATTAAGTAAAAAGACTGTTATTTGAGTTATATTCTTAGCTGCCTCTGAGATACACTGGGATGTAATTAAGAGACAGGTAGGGGAATCAAGGAGCTGATTTCATTTCCTGACATATTCACACCCAAGGGAGCAGCATTCTCTTCAAAGCATGGAAGCAGCAGTGTTAGACAGCTTCGTTTGCTTCCCTTTCCTGAAGTTAAGAGGAAGTTACTGGAGAGATAATGCTTCAGTTTGATAGGTGAGGTTTCTTCACAAACCAGTAATTGTTGCTGGTGTTTTTAACCACTTCAGGTCCATTTTGCATTTCTCTATGCAACTGGAAGAGGTAGTCCTTACTTTGTAATTTCAGGGTTTAGATCAATACTTTAATCCTTCTTGTTATGTTTTGGTTGGCGCTAGTACATCAAAAAGTCCTTTTGTTTTTTCCCTATAGTGTCCAGCGTGCTGGCTACTGAACGCTTGCTACTGTTGTGGTAATAAACTGTCAAATACAAAATTTGCTAAACAAAAGTGTTTGATCAATGTACCCCTGTCTATCACAAGGCTAGAAGCAGATGTGTTGTTAGGTAAATTCTGATGAATTTCACACTTTTGTCTCTTAAGCGTATGGATGGAAGGATCTATTAGCTAATTCACTCAAGCAGGACTCAAGTGGCAGAGACTCAACTCCTAACTTGACAGTTTTCTTGCATAACCCTGGGAAGGTATTTGCTCCATGCCACATTCAGATAAAACACTTCATTAGCTGTCAGAGACATTATTAATAAAATACATGGTGACCGAGAGGTGTGAAGGACAGAGGTGTGGATTGGGTAACTGCCAAGGCAATCAACTTGATTACTGAGAAGCTGTAATTAACAGGATTGTACTTGCTAAATTCAGCTTTTGATTTAAAAATGAATGTTCAGTGTCCCTGGGTATGTCTTAATTATTTTCTACTTATCTACTATTAAATAAGCCAATCTACAAATGGATTCATATTCAAAAGCGCAAAGTGTGCATCACTTCCCCTCTGGCAATACCCAAATTCAAGACAGCAGGGACAAGCTTGCTCTTTGCTGGCAGAGATCATTCCTACTGCTAGTTATTGCTTTAAAAATTCTTGCTGCACAGAGTTAATCTTGCTTAAAGTAGTGTTTTTGTGAAGCAAGCTTACAAAGCAGTATTTTTATGAAGCACTTTTTATGGAAAGTAAACTGCATTGTAGATAGAGTTCCTGTAAGCCCCCAAATAATCTTGTTTTCCCTATGTCTTACTAATCCAAGTAATGTTTGGATCTGTAACTTCCCCAAAGTGCTGCCTCCTTAAGAACAGTATCAGCAGTAAAACTTGTAATAGGAAACAGACACTTCTAGGGCCTGTATTTTCAGGATGCCTCTGTTAGTCAATCCTAAACAGTGTGTATTGCTTATAAGGAAAGCAAGAAACGAGAGCTATTAGTGAAGTTGTCCAATATATCCCTCAGACACTAGTTTGGAGATCCTGGTACAATCTGTTTGCTTATATAAAAAAGCTACAATAATTGATGGAAAATGCCAAAAGCAAACCAGTTATGAATGTAGTGGCAATACAGTGAACATGTATTACTGCATTTAGAAAGGTACAGCAGAAAGCTGGCCAGCATTATTTGCTGGCATGACAAATCAAGGGTTACTGGGGTTTTGTTTTCTCCTTCTCCCTGCCCCCTTCCCCCCCCCTTTTTTTTTCCTGATTTAATAGGAGTGAGCTCATCTATTTAATAAATCCCAAGATAAGGCTCCTATTCAATAAGGGAAATGTATGCCTGTGTCTTATGTATTGGACTTAACCAGGATGCAACAAAAGATACGTTTTGCACTGATCAAGCTGGAACTGGAAAATTGTCCTTTGATAACCAGACAAATATTTCTCTAGACAAGAATCCACGGGTGGTAAGACAGTGTGCTTGGCTCCACTTGGCTCCCCACAGGAGGTGGACAACTGTCTGTGTAGGAGAATGCTAACTTTAGAGAAGACTCTTGAGTCTGCCATCAGCACGGCTCTCCCACGTTCTCCAGCTGATGCATTGCAAAGTGCAGTCAACACAGATTCCCCACATAACTCCCGGGTTGCCTGCATTAAGGATGAAATCAAGTAATAAGAGTTTAACTCTGCAGCACACTAACTTGGAACTGAGTTTTAGCCTTTGTGTAATACAGTGTCTTGCCTCCAAAGCAAGTACGTGAGGGTTTTTTGAGCTGGGCTTCCCATAGATCACTGTGCCCAACAGCCTCAGATAATTCAGAGCTGATTGTTCAGTTTTTTAGCTGAAAAAACCTTCAAAGTAAAGGACCTACACCTGAATATTATTTTACTTTTAATAAAAATGTTGCTAATTGCAGGAGGCATTTACTGTGCTTTCTTGGTCTTGAAGCTGTTCTTTTATGAGGAACTTTGGTTTGTCTCTATTGTTCTTTCTAGGGGGGAGGTTGTTTCCTTTTTTTTTTTTTTTTTAAAGGTGAAGCCAAGATATTTTTTAACCTCACATGGATTTGCTACCTTTGTGATGTATATCTGTGTACTGCATTGGCAGGTGTCTTTCACTGCAAATAGCTTTGGTATAGTTTTCTAAAGGTGAAAAATGACAGCATAAGCTCCTTTCATATGCGTTCTCTCTTTAGCTGTTACTTCAGTGTGTCAGCAAACCAAACCCGCGCAGTGACTTTTACACATCGTGTTCTTCTGCCTACAGGCTCGCTAGCTCAGCCACCGAGCCTCGGGTAGCAGCAGCGCTTTGCTGGGGCCAGGGTAACTGTGTGTGGAAGAAGGCA